TCCAGAATCTAACCTCTTTTCACCTCCCTCTTCACTACCACCCTGGTCTGAGTCACTGTCATCTCTTGACAAACTGCTAAAATAGCTTCCTCACGGTCTCCCTGGCCCACGCTTGCTCCCCTACAGTTGTTCCCCAACATTCTTTGAAAACACCAATCAACTTCTTTTTTTTTTTTTTAAAGAAAGCCATCTTTCTTTTTAAGATTTTATTTATTTATTTATTTTCCCCCCAAAGCCCCAGTAGCTAGTTGTATGTCATAGTTGCACATCCTTCTAGTTGCTGTATGTGGGAAGCGGCCTCAGCATGGCCGGAGAAACGGTGCGTCGGTGCGCGCCCGGGATCGAACCTGGGCCGCCAGCAGCGGAGCGCGGGCACTTAACCGCTAAGCCATGGGGCCGGTGCCACGGATCAACTTCTTATCACTTCCCTGCTTTCAGCCCTCAACAGCTTCCCGTCATGCTTAGGGCTGTCCGTGACCCCTCCCCAATATGCACATACACATCCTTGCTCACTCCCCTTCAGCCACATCTGTTTCCTTGCAGTTCTTCTAACATATTGCCACTTTAAGGCCTTTGACTTTGCTGTTCCCTCTGCTTGTAATTTTCCTGGCCCAAATATTCCACTTCATTGAGATCTCTGTTCAAGTACCCTTCCCAGATTACCCTGTCTCAAGTAGGTGGCTCACCTCTCTCTGTCCTCTTATCCAGCTTTCCTTTTCTTCACAGCATTCATCACTCATTTGTACTGCCACCCACAAAAATATACGTTCCACGGAGGAGGGGCTTTTTTGCTTTTATTTACCACTGCATTCACTATGCCTCCAGAATTGCCTGTTACATAGAAGGCAATTAGTAACTCTGTGTTGAATCAATGAATCCTTGAACTTTTTGTTAGGTATTAAGCTTTGAAGGCAGTGAATTATCTTTTCTTCTTTGTATCCCTATCACCTGGCGCAGTTCCCAACTCTTAGGAGGTGCTTAACAATTTTTAAAAAATATTGTTGTATGAGTGAACAAAGAAGGAACTCAGATTGATAGAGAGAGGGCAAATCACATGTGGGTAGTGTGAGAAGCGAGCAATTTGTTTGCATTGATGAGTAGGAAATTCTTTTTAAGTTGAAAAATGGTTGATATAGCTATACGGTACCTCACCCTCTAGAATAATCATCATCAAGTGAAGCTACCAACAAGTTAGCCCTAACAATTAAAAGTTCTAACAAAACATAAGGACTTTTTATTATTATCCTTATTCCTTCTAAATATTGTGAAGATAAAGGAAATAATGGTCTCCTTCTACTGGTGCACTAAGTGTTTTTAGGTTCTATGTCCTGATTAATCTTCCAAGCCTTGGGTTTAGGATTTTAAGGCAATCTAATAAACCTTGATCTGGACACACAGATAGTTTTGCATCTTGTTAGCATCTTGGTCCCCCCAATGACTCCAGGCTTCGGAGTAATGGAATCACATGTATCCAATGATTTAAAGAATAGCATTTGAGCAAGCTTATATTATCATATATATTTCCTTTGTATTGTTTTCATTCTTTTGAGCATAAAATGATTATGCACTGGCTTAACATAAATTAGTTTGGAGAAGGGTGTTAGATAAACAACTTGGAATTTTCCATGGTAAACGTAACTTGTAGAAATGTAAATACAAGAACTGTAGACGTAAACTGATTTCCTAGGCACAACCTACCCTAGAAATGACTGTGTACACAGAACAGCCTCAACAGCATCTAAGCCACATGCAAATTAACAATTAGTTCCTATCCCCGTTGCAGTTTACAGGAAATGCCTCATTTACAAGGAGGCAAATGAGGAGGTGGATGGGACTGGGCAGGGCTGGAACCATTCTGCTTAAGCCACATGATTCAGAATCATGTGGTGGGAGTTGGGTGGGAAGACTGCTTCTGCCGGATTCAGGGATAACATGCATTATGATTCTTAAAAGTTCTTAGAAGTGTCCACATTTTCATTTGCTGCTTGGAAAGTTTTCTTGAAATATTCTCGAGCAAAATTTCACCAAATATAATTAGGTACCACTTTGTCACTTAATGGAAATAAATCACAAACTGACCATTCTAACCTGACAGAGTGGAGAATTTGTGACCCAGATTGTGTCCAACACAGTAAGCAGGTGTCTCAGAAATATTTTGTTGATGGGTAGACAAATTTTATTGTTATTTGTGGAGCCAAATTAAAAAAATTTTAAAAGATGCTTGCATTTAATCAAACAATTGGTTATGCATTAATATTTTCCCCAACTTTTGTAGTATTGACACTGCCTATGTTGTAGTGCCAAGTGTAGGAATATAGGCCATTGGTACTCATGCATTGATGATGGGGGTTGTAGACTCAGTAATCCTGAAAGAAAGTCAGATTTACCATGGAAGTGAATATTTGTCAAAGATGGTTTACAATTCATTTATGGCATTTGAAATCTATGAGTTCTTGCCTAGTTTACGCCTTCCCGGTATACAACAAGAGCATGATGATCCCTTCCCATTACCATCACGGTTCATTCCCATGGCGTGCTGGACCCAGCTGGTATGTGCTCCTGAGAGCCCACTGTATGCATTTCTTCTTAACACCATGTTCAGCGACCTACACTTTGGTAGCTTGAATTTTGACATATTGGGAGTATTTACACCATGGAAATTGACCTATGGTACAAATCAGGCTCCCTCCAGAGCTAATTGTTAAACATTTGCCAGCACATCAGTGTTTGTTCTCCACTCCCACCCCCAATCGTTCTAATTGTCTTGTTCCTTGCTTGCTGTTAGAGCACAGTGGAGGCAGGCAAGCCAAGGAGTCAGACATCTGGATTAGAATATAGATTCCTTTATTTAAAAGCTCTATGACCATGAACAACTTATATAACCTCTCTAATACCCAGTTTCCTCCTTAGTAAAATGAGGTTGATATAGGACCCACCTCAGGGTTGTGAGGATGAAATGAGATGATGTATAGTGAGCACCTAACAGTGTCTGGTACAGAGTAAATGCTCAATAAGTGGTATCTATTAGGTCAATTCTTTTTTTCCAGTAGTGATAGTCATTCATTCAACAAGTGCACTTGGAATAGCTATTTGCAAAGCATTTTTGATTCTGCCTGTATAGTTTTAAATGTACAGATAAACAAGAATAAAATACAACCCCGAGATTCTGAGCTTTCAGAGCGCACGTTTGATGTCATGTGGACTGTATATCTGGGCCCTTGACATATGTCTTGGTTTGCAGTGGACAGATAGTTCCTAAATCTGGTTGTCTTCTCATCTCCTGTTCGAGCACCTTTGTCCCACCAACTACCTGTCCTTCTAAATATCCTCCTCACCCCTCCATTTCCTTCCCTTTCTCCACAAACAAGCAAACCATCTTCCCAGCACAGGCAGATCGCTCTCAGATATGTGGTTATTAGTACTCCTGCATGAATCACTGGGTGACTGCTTTTTTATCCCCCAAGGCCAAGAATAGAAGGCTTGATTTCCCTGTGAGAATTAATCTTCTGGCAAAAGTGCTGTCCTTGTCTAGGAGATGTCTCTACCTTCTTCCCATCACTGGTTTCCATCCCTTCCTCTCGCCCACTCAGCACCACGTTGTGCTCAGAAGGGCATCCCACACATTGGGCATCCTTCTCCACCTCAATCTTCCTTTAGTGAGAAAAACGGTTATTTGTAGGAGCAACGGTAATATTAAATTCCAAACCCTTCAGATTCTTACAGGTGGGAGTGAACTGAGATTGAAATAATTGAGAATAGAAGCCTTTGTTGCAAGGGGAATATTAGCCTTCTGCTCTTCAGATATTAAGTGTTCACAAAACTTAAAGCCTCCTGCTTTCTGCACACACAGGCTTCTTGTGGAATTCTTCAAACACTTGAAGTGCGTCTTTTCAGCATGATCAGTTTTTCAATAGTACTTACATTTCAGAGCTGTTTTTAATTGTGGAAACACTCAAGACAAGTATGAGTTGTTTCATGTTTGGAGCTCTTTTGCCACCAATTTTAAACTGTTGCTTTATGTGAGCAGCTTGAAAATGTAAAAATTTAAACCTTGGCATTAAAGTATGAACAGACAGTGTCAAACACTACTTTCCAGCTCATTTAACTAATTGATAGACTGCAACTGAAAAATGTTTTATAGAAACTATTTTTTTGTTAGTATAATTTATCACCATTAATATACCCTCAGTACCCTATTGTTTCCATAAAGTACTCATAGGCATCAATAGTATTGTTCAGCTTCCCATCATCATATTTTCAGCATAAATCAAATTGTTAAAAAAAATTAAATGATGTGTTTATGTATATTTAATATCTCAATAGTAGATTTTTCAAATGTGATTTTAGACCAGTTTATTTTTTTCCAAAGTACTCACACTCAATTCTTTACCAAGAATGAACACATATCCAGTTTATTGGGCTTGATCATTTGAGAAACACCACCACCATTCACTTTAAACATTTCCTAGCTTTTTACAGTGGAAATAAATAAACGTAATCTCTCATGATAGAAAAATGAATGTTAGATTTTTCAGAGCCAAAATAAAAACACTTTAGAACAAAATTAGGCCAAATCTTTGAAATTTAAAGTGGTGAACACCCAGAAGAAACACGATATAAAACTTGCCAATTACATGCCTGCCCGGAGGTCGGAACTGAATTCCTTTATTATTTTATTTATTTATTTATTTTTTTAATTATTTTTTTAAATTTTTCTTTTGCGTAAGGAAGATCAGCCCTAAGCTAACATCCGATGCCAATCTTCGTCTTTTTGCTGAGGAAGATAGGCCCTGGGCTAACATCTGTGCCCATCTTCCTCTACTTTATATGGGACTCCATGTCACAGCATGGCTTGACAAGTGGTGAGTCGGTGCGCACTCAGGATCTGAACCTGTGAACCCCCGGGCCGCCAAAGCAGAGCGCGTGCACTTAACTGCTGTGCCACCGGGCTGGCCCCTGAATTCCTTTTTAATAATTTAATAATTTCTTCTCTTTCTCAGTGATACAGGAACAACACCTCCAGAGAGTGGTATTTTTGGATTTATGATAAACTTCTCTGCGTTTCTTGGTAAGTACACAATAATTATTATAAATAAATGAAAAATTCGCAATCTCAAGTGAAGTTAAATGTGTTATTTACCATTTGTGTATAATTTTTTATTGTTATTTTTTAACAGACTTTATTTTTTAGGACAATTTTAGGTTCACAGAAAAATTGAGCAAAAAGGTAGAAATTTCCCGTATACACCCTGCCGCCCCCAACCTCCTCCATTATCAACATCCCCCACCAAGAACGGTATGTTTGTTACAGCTGATGAACCTACCTTGACACATCATTATCACCCAAAGGTATAGTTGACATTAGGGTTCACTCTTGGTGTGTATAATTTTCTAAAAGTACAGCCTTTGCAACTAGAATTTTGCACTACTTTGAGAAACTAAAATGACTAGAAATCCAAAGTTATTTGTGACCTCATTATAGAACTATTCTTCACTTCATCGGTTAATATGCTACAAGATTTTGAAATAGATTTTAAATGTAATTCGATTTTTAAAATTGTGACTTATATCCAATGCATTTGTGTAACCCAAAGCACCTAATGCATAAGCTAATGTTTCTCAGAGTGTGTTCTGAAGACAACTTACGTGACAATCATCTGGGGTGCTGGTTAAAATGCATGTTCTGGGGCCACACTGCAAATCTACCCCATCAGAACCTCTGGGAGTGGGTCCCATGGATATGCATTGTGAACAAGCTCTCTCGGGGACTTGGATACTCACTAGAGCTTGCGAACCACGGACAAAGGGGTTGTCTCACCTGTTGGAGAAAGGGGAGAGGAGAAGCAGGGAAGTTTGTCTCCAACTCCGGTATGATGTCTCTTTTTGGTTCCTCAAATGCACCTGAGATAATAGAATACAACCCTCTCATGCGCCAGTTAATGTAATGACTGAAAAAGTCTACTTTGGGCTGATCCAGGTGTGTAGATATAAAGTGCAGGGCTCTTTCTCTTAGCGCTTCCATAAACCCCTACCCTATGGAACAACTGGATGTTTGCCAGGGGCCTCTCATGTAACTAGCACTTTCTGTCCTGCTCTACTGGTGCAGGGTGGGAAGGGAGAGAGGCTGGAAACCCTACTTAGTGACCTGGCATCTTTGGAATTTGTTCATCCTACTTGGTAAAGAGCAAGTTTCACCCCTTCACCCATTTTTGGCTTCTCTTCCCAAGGTTTTGGAGGTGAGCAAGGGGAAGTAGAAACAGGAGTGAACCAATCCCAGTGCCCTCTTACACCATCCTTGCCCAGAGTCCAGATTTAGAAGACAGATTATTTTATCACTGACAAGCGATAAATGTGGTTTTTCGCTTCTAGGCAAGGCAGAATCTAACATGAATATCTTCGTTTAAAATAGTCTATGATAAATCATTAGCTTTTAACCTGCTCTTTAAAATTCAGCAAAATATTACAGCCATCACACTATGTCAATACACAGAAATCTACTTTATCTTTTCAACCTATGCATGATATTCATTTCATGGATGTATTATAATTTATTTAATCAGTTCCTGTTGTTAAACATTCAGGCTATTTCTGATTTTGCAATTTACCACACTAAAGTAACATTTTTTGTGTGTGTGAGGAAGATCAGCCCTGAGCTAACATCCAATGCCAATCCTCCTCTTTTTGCTGAGGAAGATTGGCCCTGGACTAACATCCGTGCCCGTCTTCCTTTATTTTATATGGGACACTGCCACAGCATGGCTTGACAAGCAGTGCATCAGTGAGCGCCCGGGATCTGAACCTGCGAATCCCGGGCCGCCAAAGCGGAGCACACGTACTTAACCGCTACGCCACTGGGCCGGCCCCTAAAGTAACATTCTTTTGAACATATCTTTGCATTTTTATGTGTGTTTTTCTGTATGGTAAATTTGCTGACTTAAAGGGAATACATATCTAAAATTTTGATAGCTATCCATTTATTCAACCTTCATTTACTAAGTGCCTACTTTGTGATGGGCTCTGTGCTTATGCTTAATGCTGGGGTCACAACAGCAGACAGACAGACAGACAAGGACCCTGCTCTCATGGAGATTACATTTTATTGTCAAATTACTCTCCAAAACACTAAATGGTGTTGATTAATTGATTAGCTCTTTGGAAAAACATACCTTTAGTACCCTCCTCACACCACTCAAAACCAATGGCAATTAAAGAACTAACATAAAAAGCAAAGCTACTAGAGGATTAAATTATAGGAAAACATTTAAAAAATCTTAGGATGGAAAAGCTTATTTATGCTTACACAAAACCCAGAAGCTAAATAAGAAAGAATTGACAGATTTGAGTAGATAAAAAAATTACAACTTCTAGGTGATCAAAGATACGAGAAACAAAGTTAAAGACAACAGACTAGAGGAAAATTTGTAATATTTATAGCAGACAATAAATTAATGTACATAATGTGTAAAAAGCAATTACAAACTAAAAATGGACAAACTCAAGAGAAAAATAAGAAAAAAATTATAAACATGCAATTCTCAGAAGAAGAAATGCAAATGACCAGTGGACATACTGAAAGCTGCTCAATCTCAGTAATGATCAGATAAATCCAAATGAAGCCAAAAGGTTGCCATTTTTCATTCATTAAATTGGCAATAATTAAAAAGGCAAGGGCATGCAGAATTGCTGTCAAATTCTTCTGGTGGGAGCATAAATTGCTACAGTCTTGGAGCAATTCGGAGATATTTCTCAGCATTTTAATTGTGCATGGTTTTTTGACCCAGTAATACTACTTCTGGGAATTGGTCTTTCAGAAACACATGACAGTGTGCCAAAGATTTATATACAAGGATATTCATTGAGCATTGTTTGTAATAGGAAAAACATAGAAACAATGTGGAAATCTATCATTAGAGAATGATGAAATAAATATGGCATCTCACCAGATACCATGATGAGACCCCTAAAAACAAGAAGTAGACCTATTCGTACTGACATGGCAAGATCTCCAAGGTACATTTTTAAATGAAAAAAAGCAAGTCACAGAACAACATATGTACAATAGCATTTATGTGAAAAGGATAACAGCCAAGGTGGTGTGTGTGTGTATGTGTGTGTCCCCATCACACTGGGGAGAGGGTAAGATGCAACGAGGAAGGACTGGGGTGGGTGATTGGGGAGACTATTGCAATCAGGAAACTGAAAGTACAAATTTTAAAAAAGCAATATGAAACTGTCTCCATGTTTTTCATTCTAAGAAATCAAATAATAAAAATTCATCAAAGTACCCTTCTTTTTCAGGTGCAGCCACGATGTACACAAGATATAAAATAGTAGAGAAGCAAAATCAAACCAGCCGTTTCAGCACGCCTGTTTTTAACTTGGTGTCATTGGTTCTTGGATTGGTGGGATGTATCGGAATGGGCATTGTAGCCAATTTTCAGGTATGACCTGAGGTTTTTTGGTTACTGGGAGAGGTGGAGTAAATATGTCTGGAGGAGAGAAGCAAGAACACAAGAGGCATGATTGTACCAGTATAGCTATCAAATAGTTGATGAGTTTATAAAAATTATGATACTTTGCTTTTTAGAGACAAAACTTTTTTTTTTTTTTTTTGTGAGGAAGATCAGCCCTGAGCTAACATCCATGCCAATCCTCCTCTTTTTGCTGAGGAAGACAGGCTCTGAGCTAACATCTACTGCTAATCCTCCTCCTTTTTTTCCCCAAAGCCCCAGTAGATAGTTGTACGTCATAGCTGCACATCCTTTTAGTTGCTGTATGTGGGATGCGGCCTCAGCATGGCCGGACAAGCAGTGAGTTGGTGCGCGCCCAGGATCCGAACCCGGGCCACCAGTAGCGGAGCACGCGCACTTAACCGCTAAGCCACAGGGCTGGCCCCCTGGAGAAAATCTTTATCGTTTGAAAATGAGTCCTGCCTGATACTTGGGACAGATGGGGTGCATGTTTGCCTGATTATGAGGGAGAGCCTGCTTCAAATCACGCTAAGGGCTCTGCATTGCTCAATGTTCTTATTGATATGGTTTAATGTGTTGGGAGAGCTATGTCATCCATTGTAATGATTTCACTAAGAATGTGAAAATATTTGTGTGTATGAGTGTGTGTGCACGTTTACCAATTCTCCTACTTGAACCTCAATTCAAAGAATGGCATCTGATCTCTTCCTTTCACAGATGAAGATATAGGTACATGGAGGTGAAATAATTTGCTCAGGGTTACTCAGTTAATTAGTTTCAGAACCAAAATATGGCCCCACTGGAGCAAATTAACTTATATGCTGACTACTGCAGAGTCTGCTCTATGTATTCTTACTGTGTCAAGTGTTTGAAAAAACCCTACTTGTTTTATTCCAATTTATGGATTCCTATTCATCCCAAGGTCTCTTTCAGGAAGGCAGACATATTTTTCTATAGAGACAATATTTAATATTTTAAAAATATTTGTAGTATTTCAAATTAATACCAATTATAATAGTACTCACCTCATAGGGTTATTGCAAGGATTCAATGGGACAATGTCCAGTGACCAGTGGTCTGTACTTGGCAGCCATCACGGTCATCATCCATTCATCATTATAAGCTAACACTACAGAGGTCCTACTCTCTCCATCGCTGTCGTCTCCTTGTTCCAGCAGAAAGGAAGTTACTCCAGGAGGACTTTTGGTTCTGCCCAGGGGATCCTCCTTTAACTTTTTACCCACCAGAAGTGGGGTGATCTTGTGTGATGCTTTTTTCTTTCCCTCTTCTCTTCAGTTTATTGAATTAAGGGCAAGGTGTGTAAAAGATAGTGATCCTATTCACTCTTTGAGAACTTGGGACACAGCATGTACTTTTCATATATATGAAATAAACAGATTGATTTCAAACCTAAAACGGCAACTAGCTCTGGTTGAGTCAAGGCCCATTCATTTGCCTATGAGGAAAATGAGCTTCCTCCTCAAACAAACAACATCATAACTCATTATAAAAGTAATTCTTTCTCATAGAATATTTTGAAAATTTGAAGTATAAAAAGAAAAATATACTCATAATTTCATAACCCAGAAATTAACAGTTAATGGGGATGTATTTACCTCTGGTCTTTTGCCCCCATACACATGCATATATGTACAAATGTTTAAATGTATAACCACATAGTATGTGCAATTTTTTATTATTTTATTCTTTCAAATTTATTTTAATTAACACAACTGACATGGATTACATTTTCATACAAATTAGGAAAATACAATAACAGCAAAATCTCTGTTGACCACTAGCGTAATCACTTTGCTATGTTCAAGTCTTTTATTACACTTATAGAATGTGTTTTGTTGGTAAATCTGTTTACGCAAGATCTGGAAATAAATCTCCATTTAAAAATAACTCAAAGCTATGCTCAAACTCAGTCTCATTTGTAAATGGAGACCATCCAGTGAACTAGAGGAGCACCATCCATTCTGGGGGAGTTACTCGTGAGATGTCCCTGGCTGTTTGTCGGATGTGAAGTTTGTTATCACCTAGAAAGCAGGCAACCCTGGGCACTTGCCACTCTGCCGTCCTTATTTGAAGCAACTCTACACACTGGAGAAAAGTAATTAATGTCACAGAAGGGTGTCAACCTTCACAGCTGCTAAAGTAGATGTTTGCACACAGCCTAGGGGTGCTGCACTCTAGTATTGACCTGGGAGGAGAGTAACCTCAGGCCTCCACCTGTGCCATATGCTTTCCATCCATTCGCTAACATCGGCTCCTGCATGAAGTCAGGCGGGCCATTGTCAGAGAGGCCTCTGTCTGACCTGCACCACCTGGGCCTGCGGAATCACCTTTTCTGCACTGCACATGGCGGGTGCCATCTGTCAATGGGAGGGACATTATCACAAAATGCTCTGGGAAACCCAGTGCTGTCTTGTGAGGGGTGAGGGGGAAGGCACCCTTCCTTCTATGACACAGTATCTTCAGGACAGCCTGCAGGGCAGGGATATGGGCCCTAAACTCAGGGCCAACACGTTTTTGGTTTTGGACCTTACAAAAACCATAATTATCAGTGTTTTCTTGTTAATGTTGGAAGCTGGAAACGTGAGAGCCAAACGTGTAGCCTCCCTCAAGCAAGCGAACACAGCTTCATGGGCGGCATTTTGTGAAGTAAATTTGCTTCAGGCTCCATTTTACTTTCCTCCCTTGTTGTCCCCATTTGGCGAAATAAGGCAAACAAGGCTGCAATGCATGGCTGCATGTGACACTTCTCACATGGTAGAGACTCTCTAGGACATTACGTTTTATGATTGTATGCCTTTTGTTTTCATAACAACATTTATTAAAAATTTTCCATGTGACAGACATTTATGAAAACATTCAATGCTTTAACTCATATAGTTCTAATAACGACCTTAGAAGATAGGTGGTATTATTTTCCTCATTTATCAGGGAGAAATGGAGGCCCAGAGAGGTTAAACCTTGCCGAAGATCATATGAGTAATGAAAGGCAGAAGTGGGCTTTGAATCGAAGTCGTCTGTCCAGAAACTGTGGAAAGAGTTGACCTCAAAGCCAGAATGAGGAAATCTCTCTGAGGAAAAAGCGTATACACAATTCACAGTGCTAGCATCAGAAAGCACAATGGAAAAAAACAATGACAAGGGAGGGGGAGACCTGGAATGATATAATTTGTCTAGTAGAGCATGGATATGAATTGCTCAGTGGGGGAGAGTATGCACTAAATGATGCCCTACCACATTCTTCTCTGAATAGCTCAACATTGTACGCGGTATAGCTGTCCATTTTTAAACCACAAAGGGCAGACTTTAGGAAGAAAACTTAGATGGTTAGATAATTGAAGTTTTAGTTCTCTGTAAGGGTTGCATGAAGTGATTACATCTTCACAAAAACCAGAAATAGAATCTTTAACTGTCCTGGAAGCAAAGTGTTTGCCTTGACATTGTTCCCATAAACACATCTTTACAACTTCCTTCTTTTGATATCCTGTAATTCATTTTCAGCGTGCCATGAGCAAACCAACTTGAGCTGTTACCTCAAGAAGAATTAGAGAAGTGAGGGCAAGAGGTGGTGGTTTTTCTTGAGTAGGAGTCAATTGCATTTATCAGAAGTTCACAGAGCGCTCTCTTTCCTGAACTGGAGGGTGGGATGGCCACTTGGTAGTGTGTCCTCACCAATCTCTGTCAATGCTTTACTTTCCCTCAAGAAGTTTCCATTTTGGAAAAGTCAAGTTTTCGAAGATTTAACCCTCTCAATATTCTAGTTTTCTCAATTTTTACTGTCTTTTAAATTAACAAGAGAGTTTCAAAAAAGAGATCCAAAAAGGGTGCCAGGTTTTCATCTTATCCTCTATCCAAAATTCATGTCTGATCTAAGAATCATTTTCCTTCTAGAAGACATCTTTGATGAGAGAGTATGTACTTCACAGTGAAAAAGGCACATAAGAAATACAACTCCTGCTGGATCGAGGGCTTTTTGATCTGTTAATGTCAGGTTAATGTGGGGGTCCCATCAAGTTTGCAGATTAAGATCCTAAAGGATGTGTTGAATTGGTGAGGGTGGAGGAAGCAAATTCCCTGACAGGATTAGGGGAGGAGACAAAGTATGTACATTCAGGATGTTGATTTACATAGTGCGAAAAGAAAATGGAGATTGGAAAGCACCAAAATCTGCAGAAGATTATTCCTGAAAATGACTCATTAGTAGATGCCTTGTCATTTGTTTATTTTCCCTTTGCCCAAATGTGCCTAACATTCAAGGAGTGAAAAGGATTTATTTTTCGTAATTCTTTTATTATTATTTTTGGTTTAATACTGTCTTTTTCCCCAAGTTTTATTGATATATCATTGACATATCACATTGTGTCAGTCCAAGATGTACGATGTAGTGATTTGATAAATGTATGTATTGTGAAATGATCACCACAACATCCATCACCTCACATAGGTACAGGTTTTTTTTTCTTGTGATAAGAACTTTTAAGATTTACTCTTAGCATGTTTTGGTGGTGAACATGATGTAATCTATGCAGAAATAGAAGTACAATGATGTACACCTGAAATTTTTACAATGTCATAAACCAATGTTACTGCAATAAACAAAAAATTAAAAAAAAAAAAGATTTACTCTTAGCAGCTTGCAAATATACAATACAGTATTGTTAACTAGAGTCACCATGCTGTACATTACATCCTCACATCTTATAACCGGAAGTTTTTACCTTCTGACCACCTTCACTCATTTCCCCCACCCCCTACCCCCCACCTCTGTCAACTACCAAACTGTTTTTTGAACCTATGAGTTCAGTTGTTTTTTTGTTTTTAAGATTCCATGTATAAGTGAGATCATACAGTCTTTGTCCTTCTCTGTCTGACTTGTTTCACTGAGCATAACGCCCTCAAGGTCCATCCATGTTGTTGCAAATGGCAAGATTTCCTTCTTTTTTATGGCTGAATAATATTCTACTGGTATATATACCACCTTTTCTTTATCCATTCATCCATTGATGGACACTTAGGTTGTTTTCCTGTCTTGGCTGTTGTAAATAATGCTGCAATGATCATGCGGTTGCAGATATCCTTTTGAGACAGTGATTTAATTTCCTTTGGATTATTAATTATGGTAAAATACATGCAACATAAAATTTACCATCTTAACCTTTTTGAAATGTACACTTCAGTGGTTATTTTTCTTAATTCTTTAAGTGCTTAAAGGTTTACACACATTTTAAAAGTCATTGAATGTACTTTATTTTTCATATATAACTTCCCTAAATCTACACACCCATGCGAGGTATCCTAGGAATACAGAGTCTATACCTAATAAATGAGTAATTGATATGCCATGTTGTGGAATGTTAATGCAGCCGTATTTGAATATAACACAAATCAAGTAATGGATTTTTCGCTATATTCCTAGGTTTGATACCAGGAAATAAATTTCCTTAGAAAATAATTTTAAAAGGTTTTTTTTAAAATCTCTTTTTCCCATGTGGAGAATTAAGATTTAATATCAGTTTATTTGTGAACAGTCTGGATGGAGAACGTTGAGATTGTGGGGAAGCCTGGGTGGCCCAGGTCAAAGAAAAGTCCTGGAGGAAAGGGTATGGACAGTGAGTTGGGGCCAGAAGGGGCTGGAGGCCGAAACCAGGCTCTCTTGGACAATACTTTAACTTGCCCCTTTGCAAAGCTTGCATGTTCAAGTGGAGACTCAGTTATTCAATCTCGACATCATTGTTACACCAGAAGGTAGGTGCCCGTTGCATATTTGAAAGGAGTCAAAAGTGAGTCTCCTTGATTGGTTAGTTATGAGTGTGTCTGGGGTCAACACCAGACTTGCTGCCTAGACTGGGCATAAGGGCTGCTTTCTGGTTGAAGTGGCTGGTTAGAGGATGGTGGGGCTGGGGGCCTGATTTCAAGTTGCCTTTGCATCGCAAGAGCAGTGTTTTTACTTAGATTTGTGTGTTCATTTGGGGGACTTGGGAGAGACAAATAGAGATTATTGGGGAGCAGGGAGCCTGAAAACCCCAAGCCACCCTTGGCACCTTCATGGAGCAAGTCACGTACTTTTATATGAAATTTATCATATAATCTTCACCACAAACCTGCAAGGCAGAAATTATCATGCCCATCTTACGGAGACAGAAATTTAGATTTTAAACTAAGGTCACATGGGCCGGCCCCGTGGCTTAGCGGTTAAGTGCGTGCGCTTCGCTGCCGGCGGCCCGGGTTCGGATCCCGGGTGCGCACTGAGGCACCACTCCTCCAGCCATGCTGAGGCCGCGTCCCACATACAGCAACTAGAAGGATGTGCAGCTATGACAGACAACTATGTACTGGGGCTTTGGGGGAAAAATAAATAAATAAAATCTTTAAACTAAGGTCACAGAGCCCAGTGGTGGAGTTGAGATTTTTTTTATCCAGGTCAGCGAGACTCCAAAGCCCACCACACCCCACTCTCCCACCTCTAAGGTAGAGGTCACTCTGTCCTTCTCCCTTGTGCCCAAGATTGCTGTGGAACAACGAGTGCTCGGCAGGTACTTCAGTGTTGGGAAGGCTTTTCTCTTGGTAGTCTTCTGCAAGCAGCCACATTTTCCAGGAAATGGTGGTGCCTCGGTGATGACCGAGGGCTTTGAGTAGCCCAGAGTGAGCGCATGCTCGGGTCTCCATGTAGACGGCCGCACGTGGAGTAACACACATTTGTGACTCTCTCTCTAGGAGTTAGCTGTCCCCGTGGTCCACGATGGTGGCGCTCTTTTGGCTTTCATCTGCGGTGTCGTGTACACGCTCCTGCAATCCATCATCTCTTACAAATCGTGTCCCCAGTGGAACAGACTGTCCACGTGCCACGTACGGCTGGCCATCTCTGCCATTTCCTGCGCAGCTGTCATCCCCAGTATCCTTTTCACATTTGTAGTGTCCTCACAAACTTGACTTCCCCTCCCCACCCAAAAAGCATGAAAAAAGCAAATGTTAACAGCCAAGTTTCCACATGCTTCAGAAGAACAATTGGGAGAAAAGTGTAAATCATTAAGAAAATATCTCAACATTGTCTGGTTGGATCAAAAGAATCTTTGGGGAAAAGAATTGTGTGAAAGGAGAACGGAAGAATGTCAGAGCCCTTCAGTCTCTGTTTACTTTTCTTCCACAGCCTTGGTTTCAGGAGCCATGTGCAAATATTTATTTTTCTTTGTAGTGCTTGGTTAAAGACAGCAAATATTGATATTGTCCTTAAAGTAATAGCCCTGTAGAGTCCCCAGAGGCCAGACTCTCCCATCTCCCCGCACGTAGGTGATTAATAGTTTGGTTTACTCACCCTTATTAAGAGGTCTTGAAAAGCTCTATATCATTTATTTCTAAGTTAATTAAAATACACTTAGCCTTTTCTTTTTATCACTGATTTCATTTGCAAAATGAAATTTCATTTCCTTTTCTAATTCAACAATGTGAAAAGAAAATATGAATTTGTCATGCATGTAGATTCTGATTTAGAGGAAATGAAAGCTTGTTCTTTCTCTCTTTCTTTCTAGATGTATTTAACAAAGAAGATTAAAAAGCTGTGATCTTTAAGAGGTGGAAAATTCCCCATCTTTCGAAATACCATCTGCAGTCATATGAGAGAAAGCTGCATAGTCATTAAAAAATGGTGACTACTGTCAGATTGTAGGAAAACAGGAACTATTTAATCAGCAGCAATTTTGCTAGTGGCTAGGTGGTGGTGTAAAGTGGGCAAGCTTGAGTGAAAACCCACCATGTACTTTTAAATATTAAGCTTTGCATTTCTGTTTTAAAGTACAAGCTATACAAAATGTGAAGCTTAAGTATGGTTTTGGGAGTGTTTTGCTTTTTTCATCCTAGGGAAGGAAATTTTTAGTTACAAAATTACGGAGGAACCAAATCCTAGTATTGAGAAATTTAACAACAAAATATATGCCTTGACTTCTAAGATAGTTCCTTCTCAGTTTCCTTGTCCTATGTATAGTTTGAAGACATTTGTGCTTTCTCTTCAAGTATATCTCCTTAAAACTTTTAGCTTGGGTTAGTTATAAAATTCATGGTAGAAATGTTTATAGTGTTAAAAGAAAAGTTTCTTAGTGTAGGAAACCTTTCCTTGCTTCCAACTTTGGAGACAGATTTCTAGATTATAAAATTAGAGAGAATTTTAGCAGAAGAAACATTTCAGGACTCGGAGTTTCACACACTAATAGTTTGCATTTCTAGAGGGTGCTTATGAGCCATGCCAAGGGGCAGCATCCCCATACCAAACAGGTTGTGTCCCTGTATCAAATTAACTCAACAGATTCACCCATTTGAAAAAGTCTTTTGTCTTAAATGTTAGCATGGTATTTATATTTCCTTACAAAGATTTCAAAGCATGTTTAAAATGCCCTCGTTTCTCCTTACTATAATATTTCTGTGAAATGGCCTCGTTTGACTACTGAAGAAACTAGGCATAGAGCGAGGCAGTCATAGAATCAGGCTTCTAAGCCCTCCCTGCTAAACCATCCATCTTGCACCTGGCTTCCTCAGCTTTCAAAAGCCTCCACAAAATCACTAACAGCACAGAGTCTAGCTTCCTTTGCTTGAGACACATGGTCTGAGACTGCCTATTTTTTCAACCTCATTTTTACATTTTCTCCCCTAGACTTGGCTGTTTCCTCTTCTCTGCTTTTGCCCCATGCTCTTCTCTCTGGCTGGATTATCCTCCTCCACCTTATCTTTCTAGAGCTGAGGTGTCTGTCCAATAGGGTAGCCAGTAGCCACATGTAGTCATCGAGTGCTTGAAACGTGCCTCGTCCACATGGAAACGTGCTGCATTAAAACACACACCAGATTTCAAAGACTTTATAAGAAAATAAAAGTAAAATATCTCATTAATAATTCTTTATATTATTAAATGTGGAAATGATAATATTTTTGATATATTGGGTTAAATGAGATATATTATTAAAGTTAATTTCATTTGGTTCTTTTTAGTGTTTTTAAAATGTGGCTACTACAGTAGAAAATTTAAAGTGACACATGTGGCTGGCATTATATTTCTGTGGGATGGCGCTGCCCTAGAGAGTTCCTTGAATCTCACAACTTAGATTAAGCTCAACTCAGTGAAGCCTTCCTGACACCCCAAACCCCATTCCACTTGAGTTAATAGTTTTCCCTCTGACTCATCACTGTGCCCTGTTCTTTTCTCTCATGTGACACATTCCCTGGGCTTCATCCATCAAGACTGGGATGTTTCTGGAGCTGAGACCAAGTCTGTTTCACCAGGGTTTTTTCTCTGCCTCCCCCACCTCCTCCTGCAGCATGGTACCTGGTGCCCAGAAGATGGAACTAAAGAGAGAATAAATGAAAGGATTAAAAGGCTTTAGAACACTTAGAAACAGGAGTGTGGTAATGAAATCTTCTATGCTTTCTACTTTTATTTTGAAAAACGGAGAAGTGTTAGGCATTGCAAAATATGAGGGGTGGGGGTGGGGAGAGGGGTGCTGACCCCCAATTCAGAGGAGGCTCTAAGCTTGGCATTGACGCAACACCTTGAATTCCTAACCTTTTGTAAAAGCTTTTTAAGAGCATCTCGTTTTTCTCCAGCTTTCTCTTTTGTCTTCCTTTTTTTTTTTTTTTTGGTGAGGAAGATCAGCCCTGAGCTAACATCCATGCCAATCCTCCTTTTTTTACTGAGGAAGACCGGCCCTGAGCTAACATCTATTGCCAATCCTCCTCCTTTTTCTCCCCAAGGCCCCAGTAGATGGTTATATGTCATAGTTGCACATCCTTCTAGTTGCTCTATGTGGGACACCACCTCAGCATGGCTGGACAAGTGGTGAGTGGTGCAAGCCCGGGATCCGAACCCGGGCCACCAGTAGCAGAGTGCAAGCACTTAACCGCTAAGCCACAGGGCCGGCCCCTTGCCTTCTAAATTCAATCAAAATGGTTGTCACCGCTCTTGTGCTCCTTGGCATTATTAGGCTGGCCTCTCAGGGTTTGTCGTTCACCCCCAAGGTAAGATGTAGGAAATATCTCTTTGATTTGTAAAACTCTTTGGGCCTGGGAGGAAGGGCTCCATTTATACCCAATTACTCAATGAAAATCTGTCTTTTAAAGATAATAGTTTGAATTTCTATAGCTTGTTTTTGTATATGAGTTTTGGTACTTCGAATGTTAATTTTTCCTTAAATCTGTTGCCTTGAAAATAGTATTTTAGGGAAAACATATTTTTATTCAATATTTTTATTTAAGGAAAATAGTATTTTAGGGAAAAAGCACTCGAAAAGTACCCATCTTGGACTGCTGTATCAGTCATTTTAACCAAATTTATTTATTTACTGCTGGGAAAGATTCACTCTGAGCTAACATCTGTTGCCAATCTTCCTCTCTGTTTTTTTTCCTTCCCACCTGAACCACCAGTACATAGTTGTATATTCTAGTGTAAGTCTTTCTACTTCTTCTATGTGAGTCACTGCCACAGCATGGCTACTGACAGACGAGTGGTGTGGTTCCGCACCTGGGAACTGAACCTGGGCTGCCGAAGTGGAGCATGCTGAACTTTAATGGCTGGGCCATCAGGGCTGGCTCATTTTGACCAAATTTAAGCAACTAAGGTAACCAGTGTAACACTGAGAAACATGCAGGGATGAGCAAAATGTAGACACAGATTAAAATTTTGTTATATATAACTTAAAAAATATTGCTAAGGAGTGATTGTATTTCCATGTTGTAATTTAACTGCTGTCATAAACGAACTTAAGGTTTGAGATTATAAAAAGTTAATATAACTTGGTTTGATTGCAGAAATGTTGGTATTAACATTTTGTGTGTGTTTAAAATACACATGACATAAAGTCTTCCATCTTAACCCTTTGTAAGTATATAGTTCAGTGGTATTAAATACATTCATGTTGTTGTGCAGCCATCGCCACCATCCATTCCCCGTAATTATTTTCATCTTGTGAAACTGAAAATCTATACCCATTAAACAATAACTCCCCGTTCTCCCCTCCCCCCAACCCCTGGCAACCATTATTCTCTTTCTGTCTCTATGAATTTGACTATTCTAAGTACCTCATGTAAGTGGAATCATACAGTATTTGTCTTTTTGACTGGCTTATTTCACCTAGCATAATGTCTTCAAGATTCACCCATGTGGTAGCATATTGCAGAATTTTTTTCTGTTTTAAGGCTGAATAATATTCCATTGTATGTCTATACTATGTTTTGCTTATCTATTCATTAGTCAATGGACACTTGGGTTGCTTCCACATTTTTGCTATTGTGAATAATGCTGCTATGAATGTGGGTGTGCTAATATCTCTTTGAGACCCTGCTTTCAATTCTTTTGAGTGTATACCCAGAAGTAGAATTGCTGGACCATATGGTGGTTCTATTTTTAATTTTTTGAGGAACCTCCATATTGTTTTCCACAGAGGCTACACCATTTTACATTCCAACCAACAGTGCACAATGGTTCCAATTTCTCCACATCCTCACCAGCACTCATTTTCTGGTTTTTTGATGTAGCCGTCCTAACGGGCTGAAGGTGGAGCATTTTAACACTGTGTAATGATTATATTACTGGAAGAATAACCTAGTCTTAACATTAAAGGGCCTATTTTCTCCTGTAGTTTCCTTAACAGTTTCCTTTTTTTAGTGATTGCCTGTGCTTCACTGATTTCTATAACCAAGCTGGAGTGGAATCCAAAAGAAAAGGTAAGATTTAAGTCATTTTGAATCTGATTGTGGAGCCTGGTTATGTGAGACTGTGGCTGGGTGAAACCTAGAAGGATGACTGCCATTTCTTAGAACAAGTTGCAAAATATGGAGTAAATATGGCATAACATTAGCTTATTTTCCAATTATTTGGCAATGCCTGTGTTATAATTAGCTATCAGGAAAATCTCAAATGGTTCCTGGGATTAGTTTCAAAATTTTGAATTCCTAAATCTGTCTTAAACACTTCAACCATCTGTTACGTAAAAGAGGTCAGACACTTAAGGGTAGAGGAGCGCTGTGGATGGAGGTCAGAGGAAGCATGGCGTGTTAAGCAGAGGAGAGGAGAGCAGCTCCAGTGTAGTGGATAGCTCATTTCAGGATAGAGTGAGAAATAAATGTGGTCAGGGATAAATCTGCAGGGGAGTAGTTTGTGGAAGTCTTTAAGAGGTGGGCAGACTTGACTTAGGTGACCAGAGTAAGCCTTTAAAGACTTTTAAACAGGAAAGTAAATGGAAAGACTATTATTGGATGAATATTAGTCAGAAGCAACACCTGGGATGGATTGAAGAGAAGAGCTAAGAGTTAGGAAGGCAGGGAGAAGGCAGTTCTACCATTACAGATTTCAAATCAAGATTAGCCTAGATTGGAAGTAATAGGGGAAAAATATTTGAGGACTACTGGCAAGCGACTAAGATGAAAATGAAATGACATCATGAATTGGAGATGAATTCCAAGTTTTTATCTTGGGTGAACCAAAGAATTGGTTCCCATGAACAGAGAGAGATAAGGTCCCCAACAGGAATAAACGATTTCATAGGGGAAAGTGGATGGGTTTAGTTTTAGAATTGTTGACTCTGAGGATACAGTGAAACATCAAGGAGAAATGTCCAGTTAGACTTGGGGGACTCTGGCAGGATTGATAGCCATCAGAGCATAGGATAGAGTGACTGGTGATTTCTAGACCAGACATCAGCGCACAAGGAGCAGAATTTTTTTTTTTTAATTATTTTATTTATTTATTTTTGTGAGGAAGATCAGCCCTGAGCTAACATCTGATGCCAGTCCTCCTCTTTTTTGCTGAGGAAGACTGGCCCTGGGCTAACATCTGTGCCCATCTTCCTCTACTTTATATGGGACGCCGCCACAGCATGGCTTGACAAGCAGTGCCTCTGTGTGCGTCCAGGATCCGAACCTGTGAACCCCGGGCCACCACAGCGGAGCTCACACACTTAACCACTACGCCACTGGGACAGCCCGGAACAGAATGTTTGGAATTGAGATGGACTCGTGCCATTAGATACTTACAGTGGTGGTTCGTCTAGCTGCCATGCGGGAGGATCAAGGATGCCCCAGGGGAGAAGACAGCTGGTAAGGGAACAGCAGGAGTTTTTCTTTTCAAGGGGTAGGGGGAGTTACTGATATTTTTTCACATGGCAATTGCAGTAAAATGTTGGCGTTAGAAGCCGGTTGCAGGAGGTTAAAGAAATGGTGAGAGGAGTGGTTCATTAATTCAGCTATCAATCGAATGCTTGGAAGTGAGAGGAAGAGAAGAAATAAGATGGTGGCTAGAAGGGACAGCGGAGTCAGAGGAAGGATGTCCCAAGACAGAGAATTTTGGCATGCGATGGAAACCTGCAAGAGACAAGAGAGAGACTGAAGATGCTGAGGAAGACAGTGACCAGAGGACATTAAAAAAAATGTGCTTCCTGAAAGTGAGACCTCACAGCAGTGTAACCCCAAGTGTACTTTACTTTGTTGCCACTGGGAGGAGACCTTCCACCACAAATCAAACGTTTATGAGCTGCCTGGATGGGTTCGTCAAAGCATATCCCCAGGCAGTTAAAAATCTTTTTTTTCATTTCATTTTCTATCTTAGAAAAGTGAAAAGTACCTGTTTTTCTACTCACTCCATAAATTACCGTGTCATTCTTGTATTGCCTTCTGTTCCCAATGTCAACAAATGCAAAGAAAACCCTTTACATTAACTCACTGAATAGATGAATCATTTAGGTACTGCCCCAAACCTGTGGAACTTTAGAGCTTTCATGGCACATTCCTGTGCATCGTCTTACTTGGTAGGGAGGGTGAGAATCATGTCGTTGTCTCTCTCTCTCTCTCTCTTTTTTTTTTTTTGTGAGGAAGACCAGCCCTGAGCTAACATCCGATGCCAATCCTCCTCTTTTTTATTGCTGAGGAAGATTGGCCCTGAGCTAACATCCGTGCCCATCTTCCTCTACTTTATATGGGACGCCGCCATAGCATGGCTTGCTTGACAAGCTGTGTGTCGGTGGGCGTCTGGGATCCAAACTTGTGAACCCCGGGCCACCAAAGTGGAGCCCGCACACTTAACTGCTGTGCCTCTGGGCTGGCCCCCCTCCATTGTCTCATTTTACACAGCAAGATTAGAGCTTTGCCTGCACTCACACGCCTGTACTGGAGGCGTCTGGACTCCTGTTCAGTGCACTTTCATTAATATCATACTAAAGAAACCCACCCCCCCAAATTCTGCTTCTATCTTTATAAGCCATCTCTTCACTGTCCAAGGATGATACGGGATGGGGTGGATCCCCTGGTGCTGTCACAGAAAGGAGGTGGCCTCCGTTCTCTCTCCCCTAAGGAAGGCTGGTGAGGGTCTCCCCACTGCGAGCTGGATGAGAACAGGATGGATGTGAACGTCATTGGGGAGAGCAGGGGGTGGTGTCAATGAGAGTCTGATGCCTCTCGATTGAATCTTTGTGGATGAAAACTGGATCAAAGAAAAAAATTGTCACAGGGCTGGCCCGGTGGTCTAGTGGTTAAGTGCCCATGCTCCGCTCCGGCAGCCCGGGGTTCAGATCCTGGGCACGCACCGATGCACTGCCTGTCAAGCCATGCTGTGGCGGCGTCCCATATAAAGCAGAGGAAGATGGGCAGGGATGTTAGCCCAGGGCCAATCTTCCTCAGCAAAAAAGAGGAGCATTGGCATCGGATGTTAGCTCAGGGCTGATTTTCCTCACACACGAAAACAACTGTCACCATGGAACCAACCTGCAATCCAGCACATTTGTTTTCTGACACCTGTAACCTATAGCAGAACAGAAAGTGAAGTAGGGAAAAAACAGGTCATTATTTGAAATCAGAGGGGGCAACCTGACAGTCCACGGGCCTAATTTGGCATGTGGGCTAAAGTCAAAATGCAGACATGCATTTTTTACGTACATGGTGTTTAAAAATGCTTTTAAAGTAGTTCCCAGCATTTAAAAATAGGAGATCACAGACACAGACACAGACACACACAGACACAGACACACACACACACACACACACACACACAGAGGCTTTTTGTAAAATCTCTCTCAAAGCAACACTGGAGTCATATTTTCCCATTTGGTGAAAATGGAATTGAGCTGATAAGGCGTGGGCTCTCCATCTTCCCTCTCTTTTCGAAACCATCAGTTTCGTTTATTTTGATTAATTTCCTGACCTCCATAGGCAGCTGACTTTGGAACCTGCCCACACCCCCACCATTAAAGCCAGTCTCATTCTTTTGTTTTTTTGTGAGGATCAGCCCTGAGGATGGGCAATCCTCCTCTTTTTGCTGAGGAAGACTGGCCCTGGGCTAACATCTGTGCCCACCTTCCTCCACTTTATATGGGACGCCGCCACAGCATGGCCTGACAAGTGGTGTATTGGTGCGCGCCCGGGATCCGAACCTGGGCCACCAGCAGCAGAGCGCATGCACTTAACCGCTAAGCCACGGGGCTGGCCCCGCCATTCTCATTCTTGCCTTCCATTTTCTCATTCCTGCCCCCAAGAAGATAGAGTCAGTTACAAATAGATGTCCCATTAGCATTTGCTTTGTAGCTCTGTTTACCTTATAATGTTAAGGAGAACTATTTTCTGAACTGACGTTTTCTATAGTCACAGAGAAACACAAAACCCTGTGGCGATAGGCAGCCAATTTCCTCTAGATGCAGACACTCATTCTTTGGAATAACTCTACAAACGCCAAATAGATGCTTTTTAAGCGTGCCTTTCAACTTTGGGATTCCCAGCAGTGGGAAAACAAGTCATGGCTTGTATGGAAAGTTCTTTTTTCTGTTGAGTCCAAATTTGCTTCCCAGACTTGGCCATTTCGTGATCTTTATTTTGCCTTTAGAAGATATATACACTAGTCTAAAAGCCAGGGTGTGCGAGAGCTGGAAAGAACTTTCAGGATAATTGCGTTCATGTTCTCATTGGGCAGGTGCCCTGATGTTCATCCATGTGGACTTGCTGACTCCTCAAGAGGCTGGTTTATGCTCCCTGGACAGCTTTTTCCTCTGGCCTGACCTGCTCATTATTATTTCAATACGTACACTAAAGTGAATCGATTTGGGCTAAATTCTGTTTCTTTATTATCGCTCTTAGGATTATGTATATCACGTAGTGAGTGCGATCTGTGAATGGACAGTGGCCTTTGGTTTTATTTTCTACTTCCTAACATTTGTCCAAGATTTCCAGGTAGGTATTTATCAATGGTTCAAATGTTATAAATTGCTGACAATTAGGATTATTCAAAATCCATAGAAAACTTCTTACATTAAAAAAAATAAGAGCACTATCTTTCTTTCTTTTTACCCTCATGCATTTGAAAAAATATAAGTATCATGCAACTTAGTTATTCTCAAAGGGAAGCATCTTTAACAGCTCTCCCAAACAATGCAAGATTCGTATGTCCTCTGCCATTTGATGCTTATAGTCATATACCCTGGTTATTTTCTTTTTGAGGCGGTCTCACTAGTTGCAAATAATAGGAAATACATCTTTTTAAAAAAATAAAAGTCTGTTGTTGAAAAATGTTCCCAAGGCAGAGAGAAGGTGGGACCTTATCAGATTTGGCAACAAAGAAAATCTTACATATTGAAACAAGTGAATGATTAGCTAAAAGGATATAGAAAGTCAAGAAAATTCTTCAGGACGCAGCTGAAGCTCAGCACAAACCATAGTGAGATCATGTCTAGGGTTGGGCAAAGCTGTGGGGAGTTTCATTGCCGGCAGTGGAATTATTTACCTGCTTTTAAACCTTTTTTTTTTTTTTAATAGAGTGTCACCCTAAGGATATCCACAGAAATCAACGGTGCCGTTTGAAGAAAGAAGACTCCTATCTCAGTCAATGAAAGTCGCAGACAATTTCTAGAAGGGGTACAGAGGACAGGCAGAGTTTTAATGCTGCCCTGAGTGGAATGCATGTATGGCACATCCAGGACTTGAATTTCATTAAGATTCCCAATGGTTGTACTGTTTTCAAAGGTATGTTTTCCTAGAGAATGTAGAGCATTTATGACATTGTAGCAATGTTTTTATAATTTTCCAAGTAGGCACTTTTTTATGTTGACAAATTCGTTACAGAAAGGATAAGTGGTTACAGAAAATGGAGAGCTCTTAGTTTGTACAGATTCCGTTTTGCTTTTTCTGTGTGTGTGAGTGACTTACGGAAATACACTAATGAGGAATTCACTCAAATGTAAAATCAGGGGATAATCATTTTTAAATTTCATTTTTAGAGAATGAACTGTATGATTTTATATCACGAGGGCATTTATAAAATTCAGTTTATGGTCATCATAGAGATTTAGTTAATAAATTAACACTAAGGTACTCTGATTTTTAGATGAACTAAGCAAAATGCTTCTACTGAAAAGCCTTAATACTACTATGCACATTAACTCTAAGTGAACACAATAACCTCAGTTTTGAAATTCTGCCCTCCATGGGCCTCCCTGCTCACAGGGCCGAAGCTTTTACCCTGCTGCTACCTGGCAGTCAGCAGTGGATGGAAGTCCAGGTGGGATGGATTCATCAAGGCAGATTAGAAATCAGAAGCCTTATAACAACAGAGTAAAACAGAGGTGAGCGACTAACAGGAAAACCTCACTGGATTCCAGATTGTTGTCTTTGCTAGATGAGCAAGGAGGAAAAGTGTGTCTCAGGGAACATTCGTGGAAGGCAGGATTATGGGAAGGAGACTTTTGCTTAATACTAAACCTCTGCAAAGCCAACCTGTGAAAAGCATTAAAAGTAACATTTATAAAACCACCCTTTGTTGTTACTGGCATAACTTGATATACAGTCTGACTCAGAAGCTGAAACTCACATTCGAATTCATTTTATGCCAGTCAACACGTCGAAGGGAACATAGGGCCGAGAAAGAGAGAGAAAGGAGAGGATGCAAGGTGCACTTTATTTGCTCCTCTTTGAAATGCCTGTGGCGGGATGTTTGCACACTATATGAAATGTGAATCACGTCCTTTGGTAAGCAAGACCTACGCATTCCACCGTTTCACCCAAATCATGAATGACAAATGAAAAGCAAGTCATTCCAGAGGAGGAAGTGGGCCTTGAAATGTTAAGGCTTAGGTTTGAAAGCTGAAGAGAAGGAACTCTTTTTCAAGAACCCTCCAGAACACAAATCCATGTCTGGCCAAGTGGGTCCAGACCTTGAGGGCATATGCCAAGGGCAGAGCGGCCCACTTGGACAGCCTTGGAGGGAATCTGGTGGTGGTGAGCATGTGATGGCTTCTTGATAATGACTTGTTGAGTGAAGGGGTGAAACTCAGAAGCAGTCAGCCACCTCTGCAATGACAAACTGTGTCTCCCCTAAATGTTCAGCAGTGGGAACGTGATCACCATGTCTCGGTCTGTTGTTACTTGTCATAATGCTGTGGGTCCCCATTGTAACACTGGAACTGAAAGACTGATTACAGCTGTGTCAAGCGTTCATTATTCTGAAGACGGGGAGGAATGCCATACATCTTTACCGTGGATGCACTGGTGTAATAGATGTAATAGATGCATAGATGTAATAGATGTAATAGATGCATCCATGGTTGGGTCTCACTTTGAACAGACTTTCGTTATCAGTGCTTCTCATGATGCATTGTCTTCATTTCCACATCTCTCTGCGAGATTAGACTGGGAGCTCCTTGAGGGCAGAGCATGTGCCTTAATCTTTACCTTTGTAATTCCAGCATTTACCAGGGTGCCTCCTGGTCCATAGTAGGTGCTTAATAATGAGTGCATGAATGAATGAGTGAACAAATGAAGGAATGCATTACTCTGGTTTACTAGTTAAGTGATAAACAGATGGTCTCTATCACTCAGTAACGTTGACTGTTCTGCTTTGTGTACTGTAAACATTCCAGTTATCTGGGAGTCACCATACTATGACAACTCTCTTCAACCTGGACAGTTACCAAAGACATTGTTACATGGGCTAGACAAAATGGGACACCTGGCTTGGCAAACCGAGAAGGCCAGAAATCACTCCAGACAATCACATTCAGCTGATTCCATGCAACCTCCAAAGCTGGTCTTATCCACACTTCAGTGTTATTTCTAATTTCCGTGAACTTGCATTTCCTTGGACCTCATGACCTGAAAGAGTAAAATAAACTATTTCTTTGTTTTAGTAATTTGTGTCTCTGTAAATTATAATTTGTTGCCAAGGTTGTGCTATGAAGTGTATTTATCCAGGAAACAATTCTAGCTCCAGCTGGATTTGATAAAGGTATAGTTCAAACCTCATGTTTTCTTAATTCATGTAGCTTTGCATGTGGGCACGATGGGTCATCTTTGTAGAGATGCTTGAACAGTAGTATCAGAAGTTTGCATCGGTCAAGACTCTTAGAGTTGAAGGCACCAGAAATACAACTCAACTTTGTCGAAGGAAAAAGGGGCGTCTATTGACTCAAGTAACTGAGAAGTCCAGGCGTGGAGCTGGCTTTAGATGGCTGCATCCAAAAGTGCCACCAGGATGCTATTTATTCTCTTTTTTCTCAGCTCTGCTTTTCTCTCTGTTGGCATCATTCTCAGGCAAGCTTTCCCCTGGTGGGAGTGAGATGGCTTCTAGAAGCCGCAGGCCTCCAACCTGTCCAGTGGAAAGAGAGGACTTTTCAATGGTTCCAACAGAAGCCCGTGAATTGAAACTCATTGTTTCTGATTGGCTGGCTTGGGTCATGTGCCCATCCTGTAGCCCAGGGAGGTGTGATGCTCTGATTGGTCAGACCTGAGTCACATGTCCACCTCTGGAGCAGGGTGGGGTCAACACCACCCAAATTACTGGGCTGATGGTGGGTAAAAGTTGTTTCTCAGAAGAAAGGGATGAGAAATGGATCTTGGACAGACACAAAGCAGCAGATTCCACTATGGAATTAAAGTGCCCCCAATGCATACACCAGAAGAGTCAACCTCACTTGTTTCAGAGTAAACCAAATTATACTTGCTGACAACCTTTTCAGGTTATAGTTAATAAACATGCCTTCAGTTAACTTCGAAGTTATGCTTATACTTTTTCAGGCTTCTTGTGTTCTTCTGTAACCTCTGTGAGATGGCCCAGGCTGTTAATTAGCCCATGTTTCAGATGAGGAAACTGAACAAAGAGAGGTTTGATGGCCTGCAAGAGGTTCTACTGACAGATGGCAACAGATTCCAGTCTGGGACTCTTAACTTTCCTGATTCCTAATCAAGTGGGTCGTTTTTTTTTTTAACACTAACACAGAGGATTCCACAGAAATTGCATTTCATAAACCAAATTAAGTACATCAGTGTTGTGCTGTATTTGGGTTTCCTAACATCCCTTACATGTGGCATTGTCCCATGTTCCCATTTTTTACTCAGTTGGAGACATACTGGTCTGGTGTTTGGGCCCGGAATGAGGAAGGAGGAGTGGGAGGGAGATAAGTGGTATCCCATTCTCTCCCACTCCCTGATTCTGGCAAGCTGGTAAGGCCAGCCGTCTCCCCACACACATACTCTTGGTCTGGCTCTGAATGCACTGCATTCTCAAGGCCAGAATGTCATGCATCTGCGTCCTGTCTGTTGCACAAGAGAGCAACCACAGCCTCAAGCCCTGGAGGAGAAGCTTCTAACTCTCCTTGGTCACCCCCAACAGATTCATCTTCTAAACTGAAAGGCAGCAGGATGCCAAACTCATATTGGGGGTGGCAATGACCTCCAAAATCGATGCTTGGAAAATGCTGGAGGAGATACCAACAATCTGCTTTGTGGTTTGAGCCAGAGTGCCAGGAGATGCCTAGTAAGCCTGTGGCTTAGGCAGTCGCTCAGCAGTGAGCAATGCTCTGCGCCCTACCATCCCCAAAGCCAGCTCCACCTCTGGACTCCACTGACGTGAGCTGATAGAGTCTCTTATTAACTTCAATAAACTTGAGTTGGATTTCTGATGCTTATACGTATAAGAGTCCTGCCTAATACAAAAAACCAAGAGTTCTCCTCATTCGCAAATACAGAAAACTCCTCTTATCTGGACTCACCATATTGGGGTGGAAAGATTACTTCTGGATAAGTGGGGATTCAACTGCCCCCACTCACAGCCCTTACTCTCTGAACCATTTGTTCTTATTTTAAAAATTTCGAATCAGTAGTATATTCACATGATTCAAAAATCAAAACAATATAAAAAGATATTCTGTGAAAAGCCTTTGTATTTTTCTCTACCCACATTTACTCAGTTCACCCTTCTCCTTGCAGATATCCACTTTTTATGAAAATATAAGCAGAAACACACATTTAGAAAGGTTTCCTTTTTAGCTTTTACCCCAAATGTAGCATACTGTACAAACAGTTTTGAGCCTTCCTTTTTTGGCTAAACAATGTATCTTGGAGATGTTTCCTTATCAATACACAGAGCTCTTCCTCAGTTTTTAGTTTATTTTCTGTTTTATGCCTGAACGGTATTCCATTGCATGGCTGTGCCCTCATTTACTGAACAAGTCCCTTACTTGAGGAACAGTCATGTGGTTTCCAGACTTTTGCAATTACAAGTGAATGGCCTTGTACCTACATCATTTCACACATGTGCAAGGAAATCCGTGGGAGAAATTCCCTTAAGTAGGGATGCTGGGACAAACAGGAACCTCATCAGTCATTTGACAAATACTGTCATCTGGCCTTTAGAAACTTGTTGCTTGAGTATTTTTTTGTTGGAAAATCCAACAATTTTACACTTCATTCTAAACTGAGGGTGCTGATTATAAGCTCACCTTTTCTTGGTGACTCACTCGTTCATGGACAGGCACAGACGGTGGATTCTGCCGTCGATGGTGTGGGGCAGAGGCCAGCTGGCTGTCTCACTGCTCTTCTACACTCTCCCTCTTGGTTCCCTCTTGTATTTAAACACGTAGGGCGGGGAGGGCAAGGCTGTTTGCTCCCCTCTCTGTGGAGAGCAGAGCTCCACTCTCTTCTCTCTCCTCCCCTCTGGCTCCTACTCTCCTCCTTTTCATGGTCAAGAGTGTCTCCAGCGCATGTGGGTTTTTCATTGTGACCTTGCACTTTTGTCACTGCCTCTTCTAATCTCCCTTTTCTAGCCACTTTCTCTTTTTGGATCTCTTTGATGGGCTGCGATTCCACTTACACTGCCTTATCCTTGGAGAACATTGTGCTTTGTAGACATCCATCATCAGCCACAGCATTCCCTGTCCTGCTTCTGGCC